ATGGTCACTTGGAGGGTGAATCGAAGGTTTTTTCTTAGTGTATAGAAATGTTTGAAAAAGAATGTTCGGAAGTGTTTGAGAATTTTTTGAGAATTTTCACAAGTGTTTTCTTGCAATCCTTCTGGCGCCCCTAATATGTGTGGTGATGCCTCCTTTTTATAGATGGCTTGGGTTGATGCTTTGGGAGGGAAAACAAAAAGTTCAAACAAAAAGGGTATGTTGTATTTGTAGCTTTCGATGGACAGTGTTTTATTGCTATTTTGGTGCAAGGAATAGGGTAGCAATGCAGGACTGTTGTGCAGCAGTTTTGGAGTTTTATGGCCAGTGTATCAGGCTTGATCCTGGCAGCGCATGGGACTTGGTCAACAAGTACCTTTGGCATCTCAACCTTTTCTCTTGACTCCATAGCCTTTCCTTTTCAACAAGACTTTTCAATAACCATCTCTTTTTTCAAATCGAAGTGTCATTCGAATGACTCCCATGGATATCCTTCGAATGTGGCCAAATTAATGATCTTGGGATGGGTCAGTAATATATGTCCTTCGATTGGGGGCATCCAGACATGCCTGACAAACTCTTCGAATGTACCTCCATGGTGCTTTCTTCGCCTGAGGAAATGACATAGTGAAGAGTTTGTATGTTTGGAACATGCCATTTTTACAGGAGATTCTGCCCACTCAAATTTGTCTGCAAAGGGGCCACATGGCCAAACAAAAGAATGTGTGCAAGAGATTCCTGCCTTGTGACCTTATGAAAATATGTTCAAATGAAAGCTTGTAAAAGAGGAGCCAGATTCCCAAATGAAAGGCATGACAAAAGACTGGTGCTCAAGGATTCACACTCCCAAGCGAAGTATGTGTGCAAGGGATGGAAGGCTCAATCGAAGCTTACAACGTTGGGAAAGTCATTGCCCCAAACGAAGGAGGCTTACAAGGGAAAAATGTACGATCGAAAGAGGGCAAAAGGGAGGTTTTGGTGTCATGAATCGAAGGACATCATCATGAAGTGTTTTTCCTTGTATATCTTGGCTAACACGCAGGGAAGATGTTGTGTGGCCAAACGAAAGACTTGCACAAACCTTCAAACGAAGTCTAACGCCAAAACGAAACAGGAAATAATCTTATCCAAATGAACCCAATGCCTCAATCGAAGCATGAAACGAACTTGTCCCAAAGGAATTCGGCGCCCAAACGAAAGATGCAACCAAGTCCAGAGTGTTCAATCGAAGGATGCAAAATCAAAAGGAACTTTGTTTTTCTTTAATTTTTGTCAAAAATGGCATTTTCATTTGTTTTGTCCTTTTTTAGCAATTTCTTCCATAATCTTAATGCTGAAAAATCCAAGTATATTTGTGTAAGCTTGGATTTTGGGAATCCTTTGTGAGAATTGTATTGAGGAATGAGAGGGAAATTTTTTGGGTATAATAGAGTCCTTGATATTATGCCTCAAGCTATTAGATCATGTACTAGGTCAAAAGTCAATGATGAATCATTCTCAATCAAAACCCTAATTTTGACAATTTTTCCCCTTTGATGATTTGAGGGATTTTCTTGAGGAATTGTGATCAACACTTGATCAATTGATGGATATGACTTCAAAATGTTGATGTTGGCATAAAAAATCATGAAGTTTGACTGTATATTGATCGCTGTTGACTTTTTACCCAATACAGTCGATTTTCAATCATCTGAGCAATTGACTGACCAAATTTGTGATGCAAGACTTGAAACTTAGTATGAGAAATCTTAGAGACCTATAATGAACCATGGAACTCATTTGAGGCATCAAAAGTCCAATTGTCCTTGAGAAAACCAAAACCCTAATTTGGAGGCTCAATGCTTAAGAGGTGAGCTTGTCTGATCAAGCCCTTGAGAACTCTTGAGCATTTAAGATCTTTAGTGAGAAATGTCTTGACAAAAGAGAGGGTAAATTTTGGGGTACAACACCAGTCATGTGTGATGAGAATCCTGAGTCCAAGTACCATTGGTCATTAGAACTTTCTTCATCTCTTATTGTGACCCTCATTAACATGTCTTCTTCTTCATGCTTTACAATCTTTGTATCATTTTCTTGATTCTTTTGTTTTTTAGGACAATCACTATAATAGTGATCATACTTATAACAATTGAAACACTGAATGTGACTTTTGTCAAGTTTTCAACCACCACCTCTTCCTCTACTTGCAACACCACCTATGCGGTAGCTTGAATATGAAGGTCTTCTTTGATTCAAAAAATTTCCTTCTTGTTGGTTTTCTCTACCTGTCGAATTGTTGTAGCCTCCTCTACCTTTGTTGTCAAACCATTTTCCTTTGCCTTTCTTTTCTCTTGTTGATAGCGCTTGCAGAGCCACATTACTATTCGACTTGCCTACAGATCTTTCAGTCATTCTTTATTCATGTGATTCAAGCATCCCTTGAAGCTCTTCCTTTGTTAATGGTGGAAAATCTTTTGACTCTTCTATGGCTACTATCACGTGGTCGAACTTTGGAGCCAATGACCTCAATATATTTGCGACAACTGATCTTCATGTCAACACTTCTCCATATACCTTGATTTAATTCACCAATTTCATAACCCTATTTAAGAAATCAATTATATTTTCACTTTCTTCCATCTAAAGCAGTTTATACGTTCTTTTATGAGTTTGTAACCTCGACTCTTTCACCTTCTCAACGCCTTCAAACTATTTTTCCATAATTTCTCATACTTCTTTCGTTGATTCAACATCATTCAATTTTTCAAAATTATCTAGACTAACACATTGATGAATTATAAAGAAAACTTTACAATTCTTCGTCTTCAATTCTTTGCATGCACCATCGTGTTCATTTGTCACGTCTTCTTTAAGTGGTGTTACTCCTTCTGTCACAAGATCCCAAAGATATTGATAACAGAAAACGATCTTCATCTGCTTACACCAATTCTCATAATTGTCAACTTTCAGAATTAGGAGACTCGCTGGAAAATTCCCATTCGGATGATTCATCGTGATATGCTTCCCAAGAATCACACAACCAATGCTCTAGATACTAGATGTTAGAATTACACCTAAAATCTTGGATTATCCTGAATCAATCTTGATGAACAAGATCAATCCTTTCGATCAATTTCGCCTCTTGTTCTTCACTCTTCAATCGAGTGAATCAACCACACCTTGGTTGCAAGATGATTCTCCGCAGAAATGATTGAAAGAAGAAAGAAATTGATGAATTAGGGAAGAGAGAAAATTAGGGTTTCAACTAAAATCGGGGAAGAAGAAAAGAATATATAGAGTTTCTCTCTACTCTCAAAACTGAAACTTATGAATTATGCAATTGCATGTTGTTTACAATAATAGGATAACTCCCTATTTATAGGTCGGGTTTTCTTGCTCCCGCAGCAAAACTCCCTAATAGCTTAATTCTACTAACATTACAAAATAAAGCTAAGTCAAAATCCTTGTCGAAGCTAACATCTTCAATATTTCGACAATTACACAACTTCGACACATTAAACTATTTCGAAACCACCTTATTTCTGTCGAGTAACATGATTTGACACAAAAGATTATACTCCCAACAACTTTATACTTATTTATGAAACATTTTTTAATAAATTAGATAATACAACTACTTTTATTTGCGAACATTGCGCTTTTAATTATGATGGTTTTTTTATCAAGTAGTTGAGTGATTCTGATTTTATCTTTTAAATATGAATAAGAAAAATGTTGCATATTCGAATTCGTTGTCCAACATCTTATATTACTACACAACAAACAACTCAACTGAATTAGTGAGACATTGTTATTTAATGAAATAATTATGAAATTGTATTGGACAAAATTGCATTTGAGAATATGTGTGGATAATTTTATTTCAGTTAATTTTTTTATACAATTTTTAACGAGAAAGTTGCACGTAATTGTTCTTGAGATTAAGGATATATCTCTTTTTCATCTTTAAAACTCTTTGATTATTATTCTAAGAAAATTAGTTTTTTAAAGTTATATTATCTTGACTCAAATTAAATAATTTAAATTTAATTATCTTTTTGACATGTTATAAATACTCTCTTTATTTCTAATTACTAAACTCAGTTTTCATATTTATACTCTTCTAATATATACAACTATCAATAAACTTTTCTTAAAATATAGTCCAACTAACATATACGAGTTAAGGTGACTCAACCACCTCTTATATTAAATTTCAATTAAGAAATACAATATTCAATTTTTTTATATTATTTATTCCATCCAATTCTATTTACAAAAAAAATTACTTTTAATATATATATATATATATATATATATATATATATATATATATATATATATATATATATATATATATATATATATATATATATATATATATATATATATATATATATATATATATATATATATATATATATATATATATATATATATATATATATATATATATATATATATATATATATATATATATAAAACCAAAAAAATAATAATTAAAAAAACTACTTATGATATTTATTATAAAAGTTATTTTTTTTCACTTTATTTAATAATAATATAGTTTTTATATTTAATTTAGATATATTAATTATTTTAATAAATCTAAAAAATAACTTTTTTCTTATAATAACAAGAAGAAGTATCATATAAAAATATTCTAATTTGGAAAAAAAGTTATAATTAGACAAAGTTTTCATGAATATCTTTAAATAACTATTTAAATTATAATAAATGGTAAATCTGTTTTTTTTAAGATATAAATCACTCTATTGTGGGAATACAGAGATTTGGAACCATTAGATGCCACATTTTGAATAGTTAATATCCTAACAAACTTTCTTGATCAACGGTTGAGATAATACACAATATTCTCATCGACAAAATCCAGCTAGACTCACCAACCGCACCAAGAGACCCCCCCACACGCCAACTTTATATTATATATACGCATATTCTCACTTCCACTAACCAAACCCACAAACACTTTAACTATTTTCTTTCACTCAGTCATCTAAAAAATGGGTAGTCTTGAAGTTGCTGAAAGAACAACAGTTGGTTTGGCTGCAACTGACCCTTCCGGAATTCTAACTCCGTATACTTACACTCTTAGGTCAATCAGAATCTCAATTCTAGTATTCTCCTATTATGAAATAAATATAAACTTCATATGATTTATTTTTTGTGTCACTATTATTAATATTATTGTGATTGAAAATATGCAGAAACACCGGTCCAGATGATGTTTACATCAAAATTTACTACTGTGGAGTCTGCCATTCTGATCTTCATCAAATCAAAAATGACCTTGGCATGTCCAATTATCCCATGGTCCCCGGGTATGTTTATTTACTTCCGAATCAATGATGTGTCTCGTGTCCAACATGGACACATCGATACACTTCTGATTAAAATTGTGTCTGGTGTCTGATACAGACAGACATATGGTTACAATTTTGATCAAAGAGGTGTCTGGTGGTGTCTGAGACAGACATATGGTCACAGTTTTAACCAAAGACGTGTCTGGTGTCTAATTTTGATCAAAGATGTGTCTGGTGTCTGACATACATACATAATTGATTACATTCAATTATTTCATTTTTTAAAAATTTTAGTGATTGTGTTTATTCTTGAAAAACAGGCATGAAGTGGTTGGTGAGGTACTAGAGGTGGGATCTAATGTTAGCAGATTCAGTGTGGGAGAAATAGTGGGAGTTGGACTTCTTGTTGGATGCTGTAAAAACTGCAGGGCTTGTGATTCTGATATTGAACAATATTGTAACAAGAAGATCTGGTCTTACAATGATGTTTATACCGATGGAAAAATCACTCAGGGTGGTTTCGCCGAAACAACCGTTGTTGAACAGAAGTAATCATTAGATTCAATTCAATTTATAATCTTTATAGCATCCACACCTCTGAAAAATGGCGTGTTATAGGCATGATAAAGACACCTTTGAAAAAAATGGTGTTTTGTTTTACGCTTATACAGACACCGCTGAAAATTAACTGATTGTGTGTTTTGGGGTACTATTATCAGGTTTGTGGTGAAAATTCCAGAGGGATTGGCACCAGAGCAAGCTGCACCATTGTTATGTGCTGGTGTGACAGTGTACAGTCCACTAGCACATTTTGGGCTGAAACAAAGTGGGCTACGAGGTGGAATATTGGGCCTGGGAGGTGTAGGACACATGGGGGTGAAAGTAGCAAAAGCATTGGGTCACCATGTGACTGTGATAAGCTCTTCTGATAAGAAGAAGAAAGAAGCAATTGAGGATCTTGGAGCTGACAGTTATGTTGTTAGCTCAGACACAACTGCCATGCAAGAAATTGCTGATTCGCTTGATTATATTATTGATACTGTTCCTGTTGGTCACCCTCTTGAGCCTTATCTTGCATTGCTTAAAGTTGATGGAAAATTGATCTTGATGGGTGTTATTAACACCCCTCTTCAATTTGTTACACCTATGGTCATGCTAGGTAAAAACAACCTCTTTATTCCTAAAATTTATCTCGATTTTTGTACAATTTCAATTCGAGTATGTTGTAAAGTAGACTGACACGCGATTCAAAATTTTGTCACTCTGATTAAATAAGTTCATATTTGTCATGGTTAACTTATACCATAGTTAAATGAAATCTCTATAAGTTTTGCCACCATACAATTGTGGCTAGAGATAAGAATACATCAGGTTAGATTTTAAAATATCCGAATTAAGTCTGACCTATAATCTATTATAACTATTTTATTTGACCTAACTTTTTTAAAAACTTGGTCTTACCTGCGAGCATGTATAAAGTTGATTTATATAAGATTTTCAAATAGCTCATTTTATCTTATGTGTTGATATTGTGTTATGCAGGGAGGAAGACAATTACTGGAAGCTTTGTTGGGAGTGTGAAGGAGACAGAGGAAATGTTGGAGTTTTGGAAAGAGAGGGGTTTAACCTCCATGATTGAAATTGTGACTATGGATTACATTAACAAAGCTTTTGAAAGATTGGAGAAGAATGATGTGAGGTATAGGTTTGTTGTGGATGTGAAAGGAAGTAAGCTTGAGCAGTGAAAATGTATATCACAAAACAAAACACTTACAATAATAATAATACGAAGAGTTTGAACAAGTTCACTAATTTAAGCAATTAATTTCGTCTTGTGTTTGTAAAAGTGAGGATTGCTTTCTTATTCTATCATATGGTTTTGTACCATTACTTCAATGATGTGATGTCATTCTCAAATGTTTTTTGAAAACAAAACATACTTCCACCGTCTCGATTAGATATGTTGATTTTAATGATAAATTTAATATTATTTATTAAAATATTTATTTATTATAGTTAATATAATAGTTAAAAAACATGAAAATTAATAAAGGTATAATAATGAAAAAAAATTATAAATATTGTATTGATATTTTCTTAAAAGACAATTATTTTGAGATATTAAAGAAATGTAAATGAAACAATTATTACGAGGAGCATCAAATTTTTCTAATGTTGATTTTGACAAAATTTGAAGGAAAGAAACAATAGAGGATGGGTTGGGGAAGTTGAGCGGTGGCTCACCAACTTTGGTAAGTGAGAGGCGTGTTTGCTTTTTATATTGTGTTGAATGATTGATTGATCTTTCTTTACCTACTTGTACCTAATATTTTAAAAAAACTTTTGCTTTACTTTCACATTATGTGGGACAATTGGATTCATTAAAAGAGGCAAGTTGGATTTTTTTTATTTTAAAAATCAGATATCCTCATGGCACAATTAAATAGATTAATTTTTTTTAATGAAAGGATTATAATATACCGCAAAACTCTCTTTCAGAAGAATTAAGCCTATTCAAAATTAGATCACTAAAATAGAGAATTGAGTCAATATAAAAACATTTTAAAATCTTATTTTTATAAAGGAATAGAAAAAGAATAAATAAAATTTATATTAAAAAATCTTACCTTTTATAAAAGAAAATAGAAAAGGCATCTAATAGTTAAATAAGAAGTGAAGTTTCATTTTAATCTCTTATAAAAATTAGAGAGTCTCAATTAATCTCTAAGAAAATAAAATTATATTTAATTTTTTATAAAATTTAACCGATTCATATTAGATTATTTATTAACATTTTTGTCAAATCAGATTTTTTTTTAATCATAATTGGATTATCAGGTGTATTATTTAGTTTCCATAGAATTATTATTTTTTATTTTTGATTATTTTTAAATTTAAATAATATTTATTTTCTTTTTTATTTGTTTTAATTTTATTTAATTATCACAAAAAAAGAAAGAGAAATAAATTCAAAATTTCACATCAAACAAAGGTTAAACTATAGAGCTCTTCGTCATAAGACAATTTTCTCTATCATTGATCCAATATATTTTTTATATTTTAATTTATAAATAACACTTATATCAATTTTTTTATTTTTTAATCATTAATAATACTAAAGACATTTTAATAATAAATCTTTAAATAAAATTCACACCTATTAAAATTACATTTAAATATTTTTCAACCCCATTTTATATGAATTAAAATTAATTTATAATAATATCTAAAATAAAATTCTTACATTTAAATAATTTTCACCCACTAAAATCATATCTAAATATATTTCAAACTCATTCTTATTAAATGTAAGTTTGTATATAAATATTTAATTTTTAAGAAACAATTATATTTTTTGATAATAAATCTTCAAATAAATTTCAAACCCACTAAAATCACATTTAAATATTTTTTTCAAAACCATTTTATACCAATTAAAATTAACTTCTAATAACACTCAAAAATAAGATTCTAATTCATGTGCTTAAATAATTTACAAAACACTTTTAAATGTAGGGTCATGTTACAAGTATTTTCAAACAAAAATATATCTCGTTAAAGTCTTAACAAGTACTCTTGAGGCAAGAGTATCAGTTAATATTTCCCATTTTTTATTTAATAGATCAAAATTATATAATATTAAATGCAACATATAAAATGTTGAGTTGTTTCTGTGCAATGCGTAATTAAATGAACGTACAATGTAACATATTAAAAGAACATACAATGATGTATTTGGTAGGAACATATCGACGGAACGGGTTAAATTCTACTTCTTTTATATACATTGCATCTAACATTCATTCATCGTATTACTATCGCAAACAAAATACTTTTTTTTAAAAAATAAAAAATAATTATATTTCAGAGAAAATTACGCAAATAATCATGTTTCAGAAAATCGTATAAAAGATAAATCATCTCACTTGGCGTTTACACCTTAAATTAAAAGGAATGCGTCATCTCACTTGGCGGTTACACCTTAAATTAAAATGAAGGCGTCATCTCACTTAGCGCTTAGGTGTTAAAAGTGTGTCATAAGTCATGTGAGATGGCGCCTTAGTGCAAAGGAGGTCCAGTTTTTTTCGTTTTTTATTTTAAATGCGGGACATTAGGTAAACGATATAGATTCACGAAAATTTGACTTTTTATTTACACAAAACGACTACATAATAAAATACAAAATAATTAGTGGTTCCCCGGAACTCGGTAACGACCGACGGTTCCGCATCCACGTCCTCGTCTGTCCCGTGGTGGGTTTCGTCGTGTTTCCTGTTGTGGCAGGGTCGATGGCCCAGCGAAGTCAATGCGTTTCGGATCCATGAAATCGGCCAAATCTCTATATCTGGAAGATCCGCTTTGGTACAGTCGGTTACCCATACCCTCAAAGTTTGGTCGTCTTGGTGGTGGATGTGGTTCCATGGTTGGTCTATAGCATTAGTCGTCTGAGTAAGGGGTAGAAAGGAAATGAATCATGGGGTGTTTGGTATTGCGAATGTTGGATGCTTTGGTGATGTGGTGGTTGATGGTAAGTTGGGTCGGTTGAGTCATATTCTTCGGAAAATCCCAGATCATGGCTAAGGTTAGATGTTGAGGGACTCATATTGGGATATGGAGAAGACTGGAATTGTGTGTGGGGCATGCAGGTGTATTGGTATTGTGATTGAGATTGTGGTTGAGTGTGGGGCATGTGAGGGTATTGGTATTGAGGTGATGATTGTGGTTGAGTGTGGGGCATGTGGGTGTATTCGTATTATGGTGGTGATTGTGGCTGGGTGGTTGTGGATTTGTATCATCGAGGAGGTTGGTGGGAGGTTGATGTGTGTTGGGTTTATTGTTGGAGAAATGAGGGTTGTGCCCATTGTGTTTGTGGGTCAACCAAATACCTTGGATGAGACACGTGCATTTCTGGGTTACTAACTGATATGTATCAAGCTAAATATTGATTCGTGTGTCGCATGGTTGAAGAAAATAGGGAATTGCAAGACATGTTGGTGACGCCTATGCCACATCTTACACCACTCTAGAGCAAAATATTTCAATTGGTAAGACCCCATTGGGCGTCGACTCTTTTGAGATGCCACGGGGACAAACAAGTTGGATCACAGGGTATCTCTTGATGCATTCCAAACTGCATCTTGACACGGTCATTGTGGTGCATCTCCATAATGTTGAACCGTATGATTGCAGTCTTTGCGATCCAAATTGCTGCATCCTCAGAGTTTGGTTCATGGTCCAAACCCAAATATGGTCTCCAGATAAACCGTGGATAAAATTAAACCAGCTTAATAAAAACGTAATAAATAAATAATTTAAAAGTAGAAAAGTTCAAAGATATGACGTACATCATCCGGGCCAAGGTGATCCAATAGATTGCGATATAGACCGACATTGAATCTGAGATTCTTGCCGTAATCCATACCTGTCACACAGTACCTAAAGGAATTGTAAAATAGTTAATTTTTATCATATATTTAGTGAACAGGTGAATAATAAATGATATAAGTTCTTGACTTACTTTGTTGCGTATGGGAAAACGAATGCGTTGTTGTTGACGGGGTTTAGGGACTCCATTCTCTGTCAACCCCAGGCTTGGAGTAAGAAAGCGCAAAAAGTACATTTTTCCTTGGTTGCATTTTTATACAAGGAACTGTATAGATAACCTAAAACAACAGAACCCCAACTATACTTTCTAGTTTTTTTAAAGTTTATAAGTAAATTTAAATACATGAAATTTACAATATTCCCCGTATTTTCGGGAAATAAAAAGGTCCCAAAAAGTATCATTATATAATTTCTAGCTTTTATTATTCTAGCTAGCTCGGAGGAATTTTCGTTCAACTCCAGAGTCGCATAATATTTTTTTAGTTCAGTAAGTAAAATACCTTGGCCTCTGGCACCACCACCTTCAACCATATCTTTGCCCAACAATTCCTTGCACAGAGAGTTGGGTTATTGAACCGACCCGTTAACCGCCTTACCATTGACAGGGGGACCCAATAACATGTACATGTCCTCTAGTGTGACGGTACATTCACCTATTGGTAGATGAAATGTGTGTGCCTCAGGTCTCCACATTTCCAACATTGCAAGTATGAACTTTGAATCAATCGTGCAGTTGGATATCTTTATAACATTTCTGAAACTCGCATATTCGAGATAGGGCACGATCAATGGGTCGAGAGCAATATAGTTGTGTGACCTAATTCTGAATCTTTTAGTATCCTAAATTCAAAATGTAAAAAGTGTAAGAGTCCATAAGATGTATAAATCATTAATAATATTATTAAAAAAATTATAAGTATACAAGAATCTTTGAGAATTTATAAAAACTTACAAACACTGCAATGTTATCCCTTATGCCTCTGTGAGAATCGCTCATTGTGAGAAGAATCATAGTTAAAATTGTATGAGATGATGAAAGAGTTTGTATCAGAGAGTGAGATGATTGTTGATGCAAAACAAGTATGTGAGGCTCTGTATTTATAGAAAAAAATTTATCACGGAGTGAATAAATGAGGTGGTTCGTGGGTGCATGCATGCATGATATGTGTCACTCATGAGGTGGTTGCAGTGTAGGTGCAGGCTAGGTGGCAGCCTTGGGGAAGGTATCTCTGTATGCATGTAATATGATTGAACATGTAGGAAGGCGCCATTTGACTTGGCGAATGAGTACAAAATTGAAAGGTGTCGTCATCCCAGTTGGCGAATTAGAGGTGGCATGGGTTGCAGTGTAGGTGCAGGC